CCCCCCCCGTCCCCCTGGAACTAAAGAACCCATCAGGATTTATCCTCTGAAGACCCGGCTATTTTTTAACCTTATTCACAGGTCAAGCAATGATAATGAAACTTCGAGAGTAGGTGAGCAACACAACGTGGCAATTACGTCATTCCAACCCGTGCCATCTTGGGTTCGCCATCGATCTTGTACGTGGTTTGACAACTTTCATCTGCATGTACTAAAAGAGTTTTAAACTGTCATGTCATCAGCGCGGGCACTTTCCCCATTTCTGCCCATCCGCCTGGTCTGAATAGGGCTTAAGTTAAGAGAATGCTTGAAAATTATGGTTAAACTGATCGGACCACCCTTTTCGGCCTTTCTTTTCCGTAATTGAAAGCAAATAAGAATGGTCCCCAGCACTTCGTTGTTGTTTGTCTGAAATAAACATTCGCAAGCAAAATATACAGAAAACCTTTATTAAATAATTCACGTTAACAAATACATATATACTCGTACGCGGTGTGTTTTACAGAATATGTTACAGTCTTCTCTACAAATAAAAAGGAAATCCTCAGGCTACAAAGCTGCATCAAGCTTTCGTTGTCTTTGTTATTGTTTGTTATTGCTTTAAACTGATCAAATAAATTTACATCTTACCAGGCCTGATATTAATGGTCCTTTTAATAAAACTTTAATTTAAAGGGCTTATTAATTATAATTTTTCATCAGTGTACATCACAATTTAAAATTGCAGTCGCATTTGTTATTATGGTTTTGTATATCGTTCACAAATGTAATAACCGACTTCAACTGCAAATTTCTTTACAACTGCAATTCATCAAATATTTACAATTTCAATACGTCCAGGTAAACATGTAAAATTATTGGCATGAAATAACGTATATGGGCAAAATTAAACTGCTTAACATCAAGCAGATAAATATGGCACAGCCACAGGGATTTGTTTCGATAACACTGAGTACAAAATCAGTTGTTATTGAAAATATATAATATTCATGTCTTTCCTATATCCCTTATCTTTTGCCAACAAGACTAAACCGTTTATAGCTAATTTATAATAGATGTACAGTCGAACCTCTCCACGGACAGTTTCCTATGTACTGACAAAATTCTCATACATTTTCTCTAAAAAAACCTCTATAATACGGACCCTCTCTAAAACGGACAACGGACACTAAATCTCGGCCCTAGGGAGCAAATTCATACAAATTTTATCTCTTTATTACAGACACTCCGGGGACCAGGTGTCGATAATTTGCGGTATGTACCATTTCAAGCAGTCAGCGGTTACAAAAACATTGACACTCCAAGATGCAGTATCTCAATTTGCTCCGAACTTCGTATGTACAGCATGTAAATGAGAAGTACAATAAAGTTAATCAATTTATATTCAGAAATTCACAAGACACTCACTTTTGGGTCTGATGTCCGTTACTAAACACTCTTAACTGTCAGTGGAGACTTAAAAGTGACGTCATCATAGTGAAATCTCCAATGCGGACTCTTCTCTAATACGGACTCTTCGCTCTGTCCCTTCGGTGTCTGTATTAGAGAGGCTCGACTGTACTTACCAAATTTACTTAAGGTAAAATGAATGTTTGCGACCACATAATTGGGCTTTGTTTAGTTTTGAGTATTTTTTTTTTTTTTTGCTTGAAGCATTTTTTTTTGTTGTTGCCATTTTTGACTTTTTACTTATTTATCAATTAGTTTATTGTATTTATTTTGTCTTGTTTGTGTAATTGTTTGTGTTTCCATTTTATGCTACCTCTGCTACATTCACTTTGGAGACACTTTCTCGCACTGAAGAATTCCCCTGGTTCCAACAGCGGATATCATTTCGCTTCAGGTAAACTATATACCCAACAGCAAGAACCAAAAGCACAGAGAGTGCAGAGGTCGTTACCATCATAGTGTCAACGTGACTTTCACTGTTCTCTGAGTAATCTGTTTAAACAAAGAAACCATTAGAGATTAAAATGTAAAGTTTTGTGGTAAAGCTATATTCGTCGATATTCACAGTAGTCACTCAATAGCCTTTATATATAGCAGAATAGTTATTTTAGGTCAATGGTCATCAGCCCGAAGAATAAAATAATAATGACAACGACGACCACAACAACAACAACGACAATGACAATGACAATGACAATGACAATAGCAACAATAACAATGACCAGTGATAATAAATAGAAGGAGACCAGTTGACAACTTATAAAAATGTAAACCTGACATGGATGGATGGGGGTTGGATTCTAAATCAAGTTAACACCACACGGTAAACCCCTGGGGTAAAACTAGATAACCATATCCAATATGTTATGTATCCCGGTGTTTGTTTAATTATTGGCACGGTTCCACAACTGTTTCATTTCTACTCCATGCATAGTTTACCAAATTACGGGAACTTCAAAGTGGTTTGAAAATAAAAGTTCACTGACTCTCCAAATAAAAGTGAGAAACACTTGCAATTGGGAGTTTTGTCAGTCAAGTTCCTTTTGATAGTGAACACTTTGAAACCCAGTCTATCAAAAAGCCGTTTTGAGCAATTAACACGAACCAAGGCCTAACTGTCGAAAGGTTACAGTAATCTACCTTGTTTGCAGTCCTTTTTATCCGGCTTCTTTGTGGCTTCGATGTCTTGCTGATTAGTTGCTGATAGCGAAAACAAAATCAAAATAAATCGAAGGAAACGTTAAGGATGCATAGAGACTTAGGAAATAAAAGCAAATATTATGGATACTCTAAATCATTCATTTTCATTTCTTCAGATCATCTGTTCTAATCTCCAGGTGTTTTATGAACTCATCAGTTGCCAGTTGGTTTGGTAGAGCACAATGCATCGGCATCGCAGAGCTCAGTCATAGGTTAGAATCCCGTTCATGCCTGAATGTAGCTTTTTCAGGCTTCATTGCTACGATGGCCTTTCATATTTTGAAGTGAGAAAAATTAGTGTGAATCACAAAAGACATAAAGAATGCTAAGTTTAGAGGTATAGTTTTGCGGAGCATTGTGACACAGTGGCCAAATTTATACTAGGGACGCATTATCCGACGCCGAGTTTATAGAAGGTAGCCTGCGTAGCTTGGCGGTTTAAGGCTTTTTTTAAAGCAATTTGAGTGCGAGCGCACAAAGCGGCGTAGCCGCGAGGAACCGCCTGCCTGGAGTACCCGCATTTTTTATTGCCGCCCCCTATTACTTTTGACAACCCGATGACAGGTTTTGTGAATCGTATTAACACAGCTGATTAGAGCATAGATCGTAATAAGCAACTTCCAGCCAACTTGGCAGGGAAAAGTCACTGTGATACTGTAGAGTCTATCAAAACTAAACTATATATCTGATGCTATGGCTCGATGGCGGCGAAGGGCAAAGCCTGTCAAGGAAGGAATCGAGAGAAGTGTAAACGATAATTGTAGACTTTCTTGTTGTCCGCTCAAGATCAAATTACGAGAATCTAAGCATTTCCATTCAAAACCTTCTCAAGGTCTCTAAGCGTGAAGGATTTCAAATTGGCACTTTGTCAGAAATCTGAAATTGGTCTAGAAATAGAAAGATCAGACACATCATCTGATCGTGCATGCCATGCCTGTGTACGTAAAATGAGAAACGCTTTTGAACTTCATAATTTCATCTACTCGAGCCTGCAGAAATTGAAGCAAGCCGCGATCGAAGTCCTCAAACAAGAAAAGGACATAAAACATCAGACGACAATTCCATTGCTGTGAAGTTCAGCGATAATATTTCTGAAATTTGGTCGTCGATGATGCTCTTTAACAGCGAAATAACAACGATACTGGTTCTCGTAGACGACAATTCTTGTCTGGTGAGCGCAAACAGTGAAACACGGTAAAAATCATGCTTTGGTCAATACCTGTTGGGAAAACGGCCATCACATCTCTCCCATAAGGAAAATTGTGTTCGGCTGTTTCTTGCTGGTGTTTGGCAGTTAACAATTTCGCGATATTCGAGAAGAATATTCTGGCGCGATAACGCTTTCGACAACGCTTTTTCGATTACGGTATTTTCTTTTTTCACGTCAAAGATCTGCGTTGTAATCAGTGTTGTTCCTTGGAGCTGTCCCTTGGGAGATTAACGAAAATTTTGATTAATGGATTAGCCTTCTGCTCCAATGGAAATGGCCAGTGCGCCAGCGCACTGTACTAACAAAAAATGCCGGTCATCTGTGTAGGCGGTTTCTCGGTTGTCTCTCTCCCAGGCTCCTTGCGGCTTCGCCGCTGGTTATCGCGGCTTCACGATAAAAACCGCCAAGTACGCAGGCTAATAGAAGGAGACAACAGTTATCCGGCTTATTTGGGTATAATGGTAATAGGACTGGGTGGAGTCCAATTCGGTCTGTAATCATACGAGCTAGTGATTAACAAAATCGAACGACCACGAAGCGGGAGTCCGATTTGTTAATCGCGAGTATGATTACAGACTGAATTGGACGACAGGATGTCTTGTTACCATTTCATCATAACAACTACAATTTTCCATAAAAATAAAAGTTTCATTTGAAAAAGAACTTTTAATAGTCATTTTTAATATCACAATTAAAAATACGGAGAATAGCTTGCAAAATGGCTGTAAAGTTTCTTTCAAACAGGTCAAACAGTCACCGAAGACTAAGCCTCCACAATTTTACAAAGTCAGTCTCTTGAATTGGTTACTATAGTGATTGCAATCAATATTGTGACTTAAAATGGTTGGCTTATGTAACTGTCCGATTACACTGTCCGATTACAACTTTGCACATTAATTAGAGCAAAATACAGCAGTTTATTCATCAATCACGTTTGAGGAAATTGTAATTGTTATGATTAATCCAGTGTTAATAGTAATTATATGGGCAAATTCGTCTTCAGCTGATTCTTCTGGGTCGTCTTAAACAATTTATCCGTCTTAGGCAGATGAATTTACCGTCTCCGTCGGCTGGTGAAACGACAAGATGCCCTGTGCGGTGGCAAGGCGTCTTCTTAGAAGTCCCTTTTTCGTGCATGCTATCTCAAGTAGGTACCTGCCTGAACGAGTTGTATTCGAGCAACCCGATGCGAAGATTTTAATGGGCAAACCAACCAAGAGCCAGACGCAAAACTTAAACTTACCTTCTTCAGTGACAACAAGAGTTGTATGATGTACTGCAGGCGATGAGTGGTTGATTCTTTTGACAGTGCACATATATTGCCCAGTATCACTCAGGTTCACTTTGTGAATTTCCAGAGCTCCATCACTCGTGATGTTGACTCTTTCTCGTCCAACCTTGGTGATTCCTTTATTGTTCATACCAGCAATCCAATCCCATGTAGTGTCTTGCTGGTCACATCTTTTTGATGTACAAACTGACCAATAGGCGATGTAGAATGTCCCGTCGTTCCTAACCACTTCTTGTAACGCGGGACAGGCCAGAGTTACCTTTTTGCGGATTGTCGCTGGCGAAGAGATGTTGCCATTACCGATTCCTGTAAAGGAAAAAGCTGGTTTGAGAGCAGTGTTTTTGAGAAGACTTGAAAGAATTAAGATAATGGAGGCGATTCTGCGGAGGGCGCTAAATGCATGATTTGGTCTGTAAAGGTAATAAAATAAACATCCAGATTTGTGCGATTTTTGTTATTGACAAACTTGAAAATGATCTGAACTTATTTTTTAAAAAATGAAAGGAACAAATTAAACTAAATTTCTTCATCCAAGACCAACTGCACTTAGAGATTAGGATGCAGAGCTCACAGAGACACGAAATAACGATGGCTACGCGTCACTAGCCTAAATGACTAGAACATTCAATCATCAATGTTTTGCCGTCAATGGTGGTCTGTGGAATTTTCATGTGACTCCAGAGGGAAAAAACCCTAAATGCGTAGACGTAGTATCAAATACTACAAGCGAAGAGAGAAATTAAGGCAAAACTTATCGCGAGAAATGATGCTTGTCATTAAAACGATTTTCTAGTTAGGTAAGATACTCTCCTCAAGTTTTCTTAGGCTGACTTTCCAGTCAGTCCATTTTACGAAGCCAAGGTCGAACGTGAGCAGTATAAGTAAGGTTGAGCGGCGATTTTAGGAGGAGAAAAATAATTCATGTAAGAAGAACAGAAATAAAAATGTTTACAGAGCATACCTGCGACTTTTAAGAGCCAAAGACACACGAAAACATGATAATCGGTTAAGGAGTGCTTCATGATTTGACCGCGTTTACATGTATAGATGTGCTACGCTTTGTTAGCTGTCAATGACAGACTGACTGCGAGGTTAAATGCTATACGAGATTTATCCAAAAACACGTCACTAGTATTGTGCAATTCAGTAGGCGGACGCATACTGATCATTCCTTACCTAGCGGTTTTTCCCTTTCGCTCATACGTCGGTAGAGGATGAGTTACGCAAGGTACAAGGACAAAAAGATACCGTATACCAACTCCTATTTTTAGTTGTTTCGCCGCGTCGTGGTGTTTCTTTATTTTTTATCTGCTAGTAAATGTAATATCAACCATGTTTTGTTGTACAAGCAGATTAACAGCTTTTGTCAATATTGATTGTTAATTGTAGTATTCATGACTACTCAATAAATCCCTTATTTACTTTCGGATTCGCTTGTCGAAATTAAGTCCCGCAATGAAGTTGAAAGTGAAAATATAACACAAAAAAAGAATAATATTGGTTGTGGATAGGCATTTCATCCAAAAGTACTGTTCGATCATTATCACGAGCAACAGAAAACATCACAGCACTTTCTAAATTAAAGAAAAAGAAAACACGACTTTTAGATCATCGGCAGGTGGTGTTTAAGCTGGTTGAGCCGAGCTCAACTGTTTGCTTTAGTAATGTGGGGAAACTTCGGTTGAACGTCTTATGAAAAGACGCGACACGTGTATTTGCTCGCTGACTGAGATCAGTAGAAGACGTAAGGTGTCATGTGGGTAATGTTGTTGAACTTGATACAAACCAGGAGAGGTTCAGGAGGCTAGAACGAAGGACAAAGTCTATCGGGCATTTACTGGCGCTTTTAGAAATGTAACATTGGCAGGTCTTGAGATTCTTTGGAAGATTTCTGATTATGCTCGCAGAAGAAACGACAAGGCAATTAACGCAGGTCCTCCTTCCAGAGACTAAGTAGAGAAACCAACATCCCCATCGTAATTTCCAACAATTTAGTGTCTAGTTATTCATCTTATATGGGTATATTTGTAACTTTCTGATTAACATCAACTCCACGTTAATTCCGATACTGTTGAATACTGCTGTAGAAGCTCCATATTTTAACGTAAAAAAACAAACAAACCAACAACAAAGAACAAAACCAAACACAGAACTAAGCAAGAGTGAATTTTGAACTAGCTCTTGTACGAAAACAGGCCGACTATGATAATCGATCTAAGAAGCGGAAATCAGTGGCGAGTATGAAAGGTCAAGGCATCGGATATTAATTATCACATAGCGTTTTGCACAAACTGCCGTCAATTCTTTATTTATGGTGTATTTAAAATCATGTCGTAACTCCATGACAATTGTGAAAAACGCTTCTTTGTTGCCTTGCTGTAAAGGTAACTTATACAGATTGCGGTCGCTTGTTTTAAAACTGTTGTAAAAATAATGATAGCGAACTCCGCTGAGAATAGTTTAAAACTGTAATATCAAGGTAAAGCCCTGTTCACGCATGGATGTGTTCTTGTTTGTTAACAAATAGAGCCTCACTCACCTAAGGTAAGAAATAACAAAATACACTACATACTCAAGCAGCTTACCTGAACTGAGAAAGCCCTCTAAGGGAGTGATTAGCAGCAAGAAAATGACAAGGTTATTCTGACCCATAAATTGCGTTAAAGAAACAGCGAAACGCTTACAGACCGGCAGTTTATGAGAATTACTTTGCAGTATGAGTCAGTTCTGAATGACGCGTTCAAATGAATACATCACCCCACCATGACCAAATAAGGACGTTATACATCATATCAGTGATCAGGTGACATGTAGTGGCACGTGGTGGTTTTTGCGCCAACCCACGTGTGCAGTTTCTAGGTTTTAAAAATGTTTAAAATTCATTTGCGGTTTTATTTCTACGATTCAATCTCGGCGAGAACCAAATGAACCCTTAAAACAGTTGAACTAGTGAGCAGCGGCTCTCTCCGTAAGAGAGCATAACTGTTTCGGTTTCTGCTTCTTTGTTGTTGTTTTCATCCGGGAAATAGCAACCGTTTCCTTGACCGTGTCGAAATGTCAGAAAACTCGTGTACCATGATACGACAATGCATGAAGCCAAGTTTAAGGATTATGCATTAAAGGATAGAGTCAGTATCGATGTATTTTTGTTTCCATTCAATAACGTGAATCGTTGTTCTCTATTCTCAAAAACTAGTAAACTCAAAACGGTTTACATCACGACCGAACCACAGACTAGAGGGGAAATCCCCTTGTTCACTTTGTATACGTAATTGAGTAAACAAAGCGTCACAGTTTTCGAGTTTCCCTACTGAAATCAAAGCAATAGAAGTATTCCAACCACCCTGCAGACTTAATTGCTAGAGATAACAACAATAATCTAACGCATAATGATTTTTCTTGGTGCTTCTTGCTGTCTTACTTGGTTAACGGATGTTAACTAATTACACATTCAGATTTCCTTATTATGCTCGAATATGCCCTGTCTGTGGATAAAATGGCTGACGTCGGCATCTAGGGCTCGATACGGTGAAGATTTAGTTACCCTGATTTTTCTTAACGTTTTAAAATGAGCGACGTAGCTTGTTCGCAACCAGGTAAACCCTACGGATCACAACAAGTTAATTTAAAACAATAACTTGACAGTGTTATTTCCTCGTGATCCGTTGGTGTCGTATGGCAAATTTGAGGTTCTACTATGCATGACTAACATTCATTTAGCATGATATCATTGATTCGTTTGTCAAGATACCCTTTTGTTTTTAGTTTGATCAGCCGATGTTTTCAAGTGTCAGACGACGACAATAACATCCGCTACGTGTGCGACTGTGCTATACGTTTGGCTACAGCAAAGTGGAGTCGGAATTGAGATTCTACAGAGTAGCAATAATAGGCCACGTTCGATATATCAATATTGTTCTAACATTGCTCCGAGGCTTTCAGGACAAACTGCTGTATTTGGTGTTGTTTTCTTTGTATCCAAGTCTTTTGGAAATTGAGAGACAAAAGAAACTTAGAAAATTTACAATTTTGATCCGAAAGCCTCGGAGACATATTAGAATATTGATCGTGGCCTATTAGGGAAAAAAAGATCTTTAAATTATTTTACGACATTTCAGCATTTCGTATTAACAATGATTTAGTAACACATAGACAAGTAAAAACAAACGATATAATCTCCCGACGTTTCGGCGACCTCATGACGCTATTATCAAGGGTACAAATGAGAATTAGATTAACAAATGCGAGTTCAAGAGTTATAACTAATTTACATAGCGGTGGCTACACAAATACTTTAGCACGGATAGAATCCGTTTGCACGTTCAAACTCGGTGTTAATTGTTTGATGTAAAGCATCTCGTTGACAAGACAATCGAATTTGTTCATGCATTTCTTGAGAACTTTGAAACAGCTAAGGA